TTAATGAACTTTGTGCCACAGTTGTTAAGTGAATCACGGCAATTTGTTAAAGTTAGTAATACAGTGTTAATTCCATCTGGCTTTCCCCATTGACTTTGTTATGTCAGGAAGTCACAGAAGAATGATCTCATGATCCTGGGACACTGAACTGGCCATCAATGTGAATCAGTTAACAAGTGTCCAAATTTTGATCACATATGACCATGAGGCTGCTGCATACAGTGTAAATGGAAAAAATTGGCCATAGTCACTTTTTTTTCTGTGCGTTTTATACTTTTGAACAATCACTAAATGAATGGTTGTATGGAGAGGCTACCTTATAGAACTTCAATCAATGCGAGAATGTGGAAATGGCTGTAATCTTTTAAGAAATTTATTTGGGAAAAAGTCTTACAGTATAGAGCATCCTATTGGGACATTTGCTTCTGAGTAAAACACATGCAATGTGTTATAAATCTGTTTAATTAAACTATACCAATATTGAATATTAAGCATAGCAGCTAGGAAGGCACAAAAAAAACCGTCATCAAAAGCAATGTTTCAATTGTATATGGTACAGAACAAAACTGAGAGAAGTGAAAAAATACTCATTTTTGCAAGGCATCATTAAATATAATGATGTAGCTTGCAGAATCTGGGCATGTTCTTTAGGTATTAAAATTATGAACTGCTTTATTTTTTTTTTTCCACACAGATAATAAATACAATTGCAATAGTTCTGATTTCCCACTATCCAGGAAAACTCTGAAAGTAATATGAATCCTTGAGATAAAAACTCCTCAATTGAAAATTCTGTTTTATTTGTTGATGCTGAATCTTGAGGTTTGTCTCTGTGTATCATCAGGCTTACAGAAGCTCAGTAATCGCATGGTGAATGAATCCAGAGCAGACTCATAAGGTTTGGCATTGCAGGGTAAAGATGTGGTTGGAAGCTGCCAAGACAGATCCGGCAAACGGTTGGCTTCATTGTACCTGTAAGTAGGGAAATCTTGTTGTATTCAATCAGATAAGCTATAATGCATCTTATTTGTATTAATGGATGAGTTAGGAATCAACTGAAGGCTCATTGTCTTGGCCTACGTAAGGAAGACTCTGGCAAGTAGAATTAGTTTTCCCGCTATTTTCAGACCTTGTAGATTGTTCTGATCTGTGGTTCCGGGTAGGATGGTCAACAAATTATGATTACATTCAGCGTATCTCAGAGTTGGGAAAGGTGCTCTAAATTAGAAACGCTTTATTCAAAACAGCAATACCAATAGCATTTAAGCATATATACTGCCCTGTAATGCTTTTATAGCACTCTCTGGACAGTTTAAAATGTAAAAGCATTGCCCCCAACAATCTGGGTCCTCATTTTACTGACCTCAGAAGGTGGAAGGCTGAGTCAACCTAGCACTGTCGGATCGAACTCCACCAGGCTGTGGTCAGAGTTTGCCTGCATACTGCACCTTTAAACCACTCGCATGCGTTCTAATAATTCATCACGCTCATAATTGCTTATTTTTGCTTTGTCATGTGTACAAACTGCATAAATCCATTTTTAAAAATGTTCAACAATTTATGTATTGCCTACTTTTCAAACTGTACGCAATAGATAGTAATAAATAATATATAGCTTTAATAATAAAACCTAATAAGATCAAAGCATCAAATTATAAGTGATATGTTGTAGTGTTTATTGATAAGCGTAGCACTGGCCATTTTTGTGGGAATTTTAAAAACGGGCTTAGACTTTTCCTAGATTGGGGGATTCTTGGTCATACATCACTAGTGGCCCTAATAATTCCTGATTGGACTAATAGCAATGCACTATACATTAACTTACCCTTGAAAAATTTGGGACCCTTCACCGTGCAGAAAACGTGGACCCGGGCAGTGTTTGTGTGTTTTCTTGGAACAGCACATATTACACCTCTGCTCCTGAAGCTCCATTTGTTGCCATTTGCTTCTAGGACCAAACAAAAGGCTGGCTTTGCCTTAAGCCTATAAAATGGCATGGAACTGGCTTCTCTGAGTCACCGCCCATCCATCGGTCATGTAGAGGGAGATCTTATAGATAGGCTGTTGAATTTGGTCTGCTAAGTAACTAAGTATGTCCAGTCCCGAAGATGGGCTTCTTAGCCGTGGTTGCCCACCTTATGAAACATCCTCACTCACCATTCCCGGTTAGTGCCAATTCCTGTAATAGCTCATAAATTCATACGACTGAATTTGTAATCATGTACCCAAGGAGACTAATGAATATTGAGTTAACATTTGCTGTCTCTTATGTTTTATATATTTTACAAAGACTGTTCTTATGATGCTTGAAGAATGATGCACGTGAAAAAAAATATTTAGGACCTTTCCTTATATGACCTGTTGGCTCATGTGATGCACATTTTGGGCGTGCTTGCAAACCAGCTTGCAATTACGACAATTGCAGCATCTACCAGGCACTGAATTTTGCTGTTTTCCAGCAAAAAAGTGCCCATGGATAAAATGGATTTGGACCTTAACAATCAATGATTTGTTTAAGAAGTGCATCATTCGCTTAACTGCAGTGACTTGCTTTATGCATCGACAAAAAAAACGGTCGTAAAATAGCGTCTTGTCCAATGGTGACTCGTGTAAACTGCAATGGTTTGTGAACCAAAACTTGTGATCATACATCAGTTTTTTATTAATCTTTTATGCTGCCCAGATAAGTTTTGGTGAGATTTTTGTGAGCCCTACATAAATTTGATACATAAACAAGCAGCTTTGTCATTGTCAGGCAGGTTGCATTTTCCTTCTAAAAGAGACGAATTGGGCAGATTGATTGTTCTGCCTTGTCATCTGCAGGAGCGATGCATTTTATTTGATGATTGTTTTAATGGCACAAGAAGCATGTCTTGAACATCTATTCATTGGAAAATAGATACTGTGGCTGAATATCCAGGTGCTAAGCCCCTTTCTCCACAAAGTGCTGCGCTGCAGGGCTTTTTAGAAGTCCAGTAGCCCCATTGTTTGCAAAGGATGTTTTCACTGCAGAGATTTTTGAAGTGGAGTTAGTGCTTCAAAAGTTTTCCTTATAAGGGAATGTTGTTACTGGTGCAGGTTTAAAATAATTGAAAAAGGAGAGGAGGAGAGCATCTTATAGAATTCTTAACCAGTTAATTTTTTAACTCTTCAAGGCTCTAGATCTTATCCCCACAGTGGACTGCCAATGGATGAACTTGGGTGTTTTGATATATCTCCTACCAGAGAATTGGCTTACCCAACGTTTGAAGTCCCTGCGTAAAGTGGGGAAAATCATGATTGTTCTGCAGGTCTAATCATTGGTGAAAGGTAGCTCTCCTTTTAAAAAATAATTTATTGAGCATGGTTCTCCAACCTTTTTAATGTTGTAAGTCAAGACTACCCAACCTGTCGTAAGTCTAGGACTTCACTCGCTGGACGCCGCGCATTGCGTGGTGCCGCCCCCTGCGCCTGCTGAAGGCATATCGCAAGCGGCAGAGATGGCGCAGTGGCGACCACCGCTAGGCCACCGCTGGCCCAGCCCAAGGGAGGTAAGGCCGCCCACTGGGCCCGCACACACGCCAGCAACCCTCCCCCTCGGCCTCCCTCGCCAGCGATGAGGCCCTCGCCTGCGCTCCCGCCGGCCTCCCCCCCTGGGCCCTCTTTTTTACTTACTTTTTAGTAGTTGCTCAGCAGGGAGGGGTGGAAACTTCCAGACAGCTCGCCTTCGCTGCAGACAACTTGCAGCACCATTTGCAGAATGGGACTTTTGGCGGGCTCAGCAGGGCAGAGACAGCCTGGACAATTCCTATTGGCTTTTGAAAGCCAATAGAATTAGACTCTATTCAAGAGAGTCTATTCTATTGGCTTTCGAAAGCCAATAGAATAAAAGGGAGTAGAACAGCCAAGGAAAAGGGGAAAAAATGGCGGACTGCGTTGTTTGGTGACCCCCGTGAAATGGTTGTTCGACCCCAATGGGGTCCCAACCCACAGGTTGAGAACCGCTGTATTAGAGCCAAGGCGCTCTCTCTTCCTGTCTCTCCCTGTCCCTCCCCCCCTCTCTCTGTGTCACTCTCTCTCTGTCACTCTCTCCAACCCTGAGGCAGGAGTCAGTCTTGCTATTTCTATCCTACTATACTATGCTATGCTATGCCATACTATTTATCTTTTTGCGTTAAGTTGAGGAAGTGTTGGTTGTGTTCCAGGATTCATTTTAGATAACAATAACAAAAGCAAGATTGGTAGGTGATACTTTCCCTGTTGGTCCACAAACCATCTCTAACATAACCCCCCACCCCCCATCAGGAACTTAAGCCAGCCAGCCGAGACAGGTTTTGATGCACTTCTGGAAGGCCAAAAGTGTGGTAGCAGGCAGCAAAGGCTAGAAGCACCAGGTTAGAAAGCAGGAGACCATTAGTTCAAGTTCTGCCTTAGATATAAAAGCCATTGGGTGACTTTGGGCCAGTTACTCTGTCCTGACCCAATTCACCCCATAGAGTTGTTGTGCGGAAAATAGGAGGAGGAAGGGATATGTTCTCGCCTTGAGTTATTTTTAAAAATAAAGGCGGGATACAAATAAATGAAATAAAATAGCAGAGCCACTGCAGAAAAACCCCACTTCCTCACAACATAAGAGAACACTCCAAAATCTGTTTATAATGCATTATTAAAATAAGGAATTTGTCCAATCAGTGATATATTACTTATCTGTAGATAGAAATTTCAATAAAAGCAGGAACCTTGTGCAACATACAGTATCTAAACATCTCCCATTAGCCACTGTTAATGTAAGTAATTGAGGTTGGTGAGATAATAATTGACTGAGCTGGGATCATTTCAGATTTCATAAACCATTGTACAATCACTTTACAAGTGTTATTCTTTTCCCAAATAAATATTTTTGTTTGTGATCTGCCAGTGGTTTGTGGAGAAATTGGGACGTTGTACTCACAGAAATTATCACAAACCGAAGGCTATTTCATCTTCAGCATTTTGTGTGTGTGTGTGTAATTTGTATGCAGATGTACATTTCTGTGTTATTGAAAAATGGAGAAAATTCTGATCTTTTCTGCGAGGTGGTGTGCCATGCTCAAAGTGGCTTTGTCTGTGTGAATGCTCTTTGTGAAACTATGCATCCTAAATTCCCAACCAACCTGCTTTTTCAGGACTTGAAACAAGAATCAAGCAAAATCCATAATATGAATATCCTCATTTGTACTCCTGGTCGTCTTTTACAACACATGGATGAAACCTCGTATTTCCATGCCTCCAATCTTCAAATGCTGAGTAAGTATAAAATATTAGTTGGTAGCCTCTGATCTTGTATCTGTTCAGTATGAATTCTGATCTGGAGCTTTGCTTGAAATCTTAATAGGAATGCTACTGCCTTTTAACCTTAAACTTTGTATGGAACTGATCCATGTATATTGCTCTGGGCAATTTACAGCATGCAGAAAATATTTCTTAAAATGGAAGTAAAGGGAAGTATATACTTGTTCAAACTTCCTGGACAAGACTCCTAAATGTCTTAATGTTTTAAAATTTAAAGAATTGTGTAGGTGGTTGCATAGAAATAAGAACAACAATAATGTTGAATGCACAAGTCTGTGGTGTTATGTGCATGTGGGACAGAGCCCAATAGATGTTTACAAGCACCTCAGCACATTTGGATGATATGTAGGGAACTCTCAACTATATAATGTGAAACATCCAACTGGTGGGATCCAGGAAGAGAACCTTCTCTGCCACTTCCCCTGCACTGTGGAAATCTTGCTCTCATAGGTGAGGAAAGCCCCTGATCTCTCGGCCTTTCACAAAAGTGTTAGCTGTGTAACCTTGTGTGGGAGACACAGTGGCCCGCACAACCATGGGGCTGGCCAGCTCCACGAGAACACCCCCCTCCCACTGCCTGAATTAACAACTGTTAATCCTTCTTTTGGAATTCTTCACCTTCTGAAGTTTTTATAATATTTTTATAATTTTAAAACTTTTAATACTAAATTATTCTGATTTTAATGTTTAATTTTATTGATGATATTATACACCAGTCAGATGGGAGATGGGCGGTTACGAAATATAAAGAATAAACAAACAAACAAACAAAGTGTTTTATTTAATCACTAAAACTTTTTTTAAAAAAAACTCTGATTTCCCCCAACCTGTTTTTCTCATTCTAGTCCTTGATGAAGCTGATAGAATTCTGGACATGGGCTTCGCTGATACCATGAATGCAATTATAGAGAACCTTCCCAAAAAACGGCAGACCCTGCTTTTCTCAGCCACGCAGACCAAATCTGTGAAGGACCTTGCTCGGTTGAGCTTGAAGGATCCAGAATACATCTGGGTGCATGAAAAAGCAAAGTTCAGGTTGGAGCTCAGCTTATGTAGCCTTTAAAGAAATATGAGTGTTTTTGGTACTGAATTGTTTTTCTCCATTCGGAACCTACTTGTTGCGTGGGGTAGTCTGGGAGTTTCCAGTCTTGGTCTTAGAATAAAGCAGGCCAGTAAATTGGAGGGGCACATCCAGGATGTCTTTGTTTCAGTACTTGCTTTTTCATTTCAACAACCGTGTATACAAGAAATCACTGTAATGTATAACTTTGGGACCTTGGGCAGAGAGCTGCAAGCTAAAGTAAATGTATAAAATAGTTGATTTAAAAGAGACAAGACCGACTAACAGTGCGACTATTGGAAGCAGCCCAGGTAATATTTGATTTTATCTCTAAGTCTTTATTTCTCAAAGGTTTGGGATTGACTATACCAGTGGTTCTCAACCTTTTTAATGCCGCGACCCCCAACCGGTTGTAAGTCAAGGACTACTCAACCCGTTGTAAGTCGAGGATTACTCAACTGGTGCAGCACCGTTTGCAGAATGGGACTTTTGGCGGGCTCAGCAGGGCAGAGACAGCCTGGACAATTCCTATTGGCTTTTGAAAGCCAATAGAATTAGACTCTATTCAAGAGAGTCTATTCTATTAGCTTTCAAAAGCCAATAGAGTAAAAGGGAGTAGCACAGCTAAGAAAAAGGGGAAAAAAATGGCGGACTGCGTTGTTTGGCGACCCCTGTGAAATGGTCGTTCGACCCCAAATGGGGTCCTGACCCACAGGTTGAGAACCACTGGACTAGACAATCTGATGTCCAATTACTAGATAGCTTCCAGCAGTTGAATTAAAAAGGATTGCAAGAGCAGACAACATAATGTAGAGTTCTGTGTGTGTGTTTTTAAGATTACAACTTGAACAAATTTTCTGGCAAGCTTTTTCAAGTTCCTCAGGTCCTGTGAATGCTGTCCTTATGGCTTGTCCTGTAAGAGGATTGACTTCTGGGGTGAACAAGTTATCTTTTCATTTCCCACTTCCTTGCTCTGAACTTTAGCTTGGATTAGGGAGCAGCAGTTCCCACTTATTCCCTTTTTTTGGTTCCAAAATATATTATACAGTTGCCCATCTCAAAAAACACCACCACGCATACAAATGTAATAACAATTAAAAACCAAATGCTCAGACAAAAAAAAGAAAGATAGTGAGGGTAAAACAGTAAAATTGACATCATATAACCACCTTGCATACTCCACTGGACCTCCGAGGTCGATGAAAGAACACATTTTAAGGGACTTCTGAAAGGCTAACAGGGATAGAGCTAACCTTACCTGAGCTGGTGGAATGAGACAGCTCGCCATAGCCAACTTGCCGCCGTCAACTCGCCACAGGACAATTCAACAATTCAATTTCTTTATTTAAAATAATTTAAAAAAATATTCTAATTTTTGTCATTCACATTTCATTTTGTCCCTCCTTTTGGCATCCTTTCTTTAATGATTCTATTCCACTATTTCTTTGATATTAGTATAGCTCTTGTCCTGTGGCGTGTTGTCCCTGCGAGTTGTCCCTGGCGAGTTGGCCATGGTGAGTTGGCCATGGCGAGTTTTCCCGCAGTGAGTTGTCCCGCAGTGAGTTGTCCCATGGCGAGTTGGCCACGGTGAGTTGGCCATGGCGAGTTGTCTCGCAGTGAGTTGGCCATGGCGAGTTGGTTGCGGTGAGTTGGCCATGGCTAGTTGTTGTAGACCTTGAAGGGGAGATGGTGTTTCAAAGAGTAGGAACCACAGCAGAAAAGATGTACCATCTGGCTCCTGCTAGATGGAGCTACTTACTAGATAGGACTTGCAGCATGCTCCTCCTCAACCTGATGGGATGGGTAGATATAACTGGGGAGAGGCGTTTCCTAAAATAACCTAGCATCAGTGATTTGAAGAACTGAATTTAATTTTAATTACATTTAAATGATAAGTGTAACTAAACAAAGTGACATTTATATTTTGCCTTGGCCCTTGAGAATAAGGTCTCTTGCAAATGCCGTGCAAAAACAAAGGATATGCCCTCTAGCTTGGAAAATGTTGGACATCTGGTTTCACTTAGATAATGCTTTGAGGCACATGTTTACTTGAACATATATTGCTTGTTTTTCGTTGTTTTTTTCCCCTCTGATGTTTTTATCTGTTATTTATTTCTCCTTCTCTGGTACTTTCAGTACTCCAGCAACTTTGGAACAGAACTACATTGTTTGTGAACTGCACCAGAAAGTCAATATGTTGTACTCTTTTCTGAAAACTCACCTGAATAAGAAGAGTATTGTATTTTTTGCAAGCTGTAAAGAGGTATTACATAATCCCATCTCCTACAATTTATAAAGAACCGTGTTCGTTGTAATTCATAAAAATCAAATCGGTAACAGGCAGGCAGGGTGTTGCATCATAAATTATCCACCAATATATTCTACGGTACAAGTAGTCCTCGACTTACAAGAGCTTGTTTAGTGACCGTTCAAAGTTAACAATGGCACTGAAAAAAGTGACCTATGTTAGTTTTTCACACATTGCCGCATCCCCATGGTCACGTTGATCAAAATTCAGACGCTTGGCAACTGACTCATATTTATGACAGTTGCAAGTGTCCCACTTGGCAAGTGTCTCATATTTATGACAGTTGCAAGCGATCACCTTTTGTGACCTTCTGACAAGCAAAGTCATTGGGGAAGCCAGATTCACTTAACAGCCATGTTACTAACTTAACAACTGCAGTGATTCTACTTAACAACTGTGGCCAGAAAGATCGTAAAATGGGGCAAAACTCATTTGACTGTCTCACTAGCAACTGTCTCACTAGCAATTTTGGGCTCGGTTGTGGTTGTAAGTCAAGGACTACCTGTAATCAGAAAGTTAGAATATTATAAAACAAGCAAAGCTGATGAAAGCATGTAAATTGTTTGGCTGCTGAATCCCTGAGGCTGGAGAGACTGTCAGGGCTATAACCTAATCACATTATTTATCAAAGTTAGCAGTTAACTTTGGCATGTAGGTAGAGGCGAGTACTCCAGCTGGACTGTTTCAGACATTTTTGTATTATATTCAGCAAAATGCATGCTTTGTTTATAAATGGACCAAACATATCGTAGCAAACATTGTCATCCAAGCATTTTATTCTATGTGAGGAAAGGAAGATGGTTTTCCTGATTTGGTGTCTTGTGAGTGTGGGTTTAAGTAAGCACTTGGCTTAAAAATGACATGTCTTTAGATCAAAGAGTGGGTTTATTTATAAAAAGGTTATTATTTTGGGAATAACTCCATCTAAATTGTGGCGAGATCGTTTTTTGAGATATTATGAAATTTAAAACAGCAACTCTCTTGGATGTAGCCATAAATCTAACTATAAATCTGTCCACAACTGAAAAGATTATGGTGACAAAAGGCCTGGCAATTGACTACCTTGCAAGATGCTGGGTCCAGGGGCAGAAACACATAGATTAGCTGAATTAAATGAGACTTAATGAGATTTCAGAATTGTAAATTCTAATCATGCGCCTGGGTTTTCCATAGCATTTGTTTTTAGGAAACATAGTGGTTTGGTTTTAACTCTCATGGTAATTTTGTGAAAATTGCTGCATGATAAAAATGATATGAAAACTCCAGGAGGAAAGGATATTTTTCTGTTTTTTCCTTTGGGAGACATGAAACCTTAGCATGCCTTTTCCTCTGGATTTTTCCATTTTGCAGATCTCTGACTTTTTCCATTTGCAAAGCTTTGTATCCCTGTGTCTAGCTAGCTGAGGTAGCAAAAGTGGCTCTTCCACCTGTTTTAAAATAGTACTAAAGACTAGAGAAAGCTGCTTCTTCCTAAGCATTCAATTATATATCATCTTTTGGGATATCTTTTAACATCTCAATCTAGCCCACCACCCTGAGTTTTTGTCTTCCATGATACTGTTAACCAAGTCCGATCCTATTTAGCTTTTCTAGCTTAGCCAAGACCGGTTAGGTAATGCTGGCCTACAATGCAATATATGTGTATTATCAACTAGTCTTGCTTATAGAACTTAGCATTGAAATTATTATTGGTTTCTAGGTTCAGTACTTGTTTAGAGTATTTTGTCGCCTTCGTCCGGGTCTCCCTATACTAGCTCTTCATGGCAAACAACAACAGATGAAAAGAATGGAAGTATATCAAGATTTTTTGCGCAAGAAATCGGCAGTTCTTTTTGCTACGGATCTTGCAGCTCGTGGGCTAGGTAAATAGCTTTGCATTCCTCCACATTCAGGGGAGTTATCTAATCGGTTTGGCCCTGTTCTTGAAAATCATTTGTTAAATTAATCATTTAAGGAAGAGACCAAGGTCCAGCTTGCTGAGGCCGAGCGGAGAACATGTTCTCCAGCAACAGACCTGTGATACTAGTCTCTATGCTTTTATTGCCTGTGTCCTTTGCCTGTGTCCTCTCCTCTCCTGCTGCTTCCTCCACGGTCATGCCCCCGTTGCTTCAAGTCCTGCTGTAACTCATTCCCTGCTAAGCAAGATTCACGTGAAAATCCAGGAGGTCAGCCAAGGAAGAGGAGGAATTAGGAAAGAACAGAACCATGCGGTCCCTAATTCAGAAAGCACCCTGTCCACATTTCTATAGGTTTAGGATTTGCATTTGTTGATTTTTCCAATCTTGTATCCCCGTGTGACAGTGGATTTCAGTTTTCATAATCTGTGGTCAGGATGATCAGATTTACCTAGTGATCAAGTATTAAGTATAGTTAATTAATTTATTGACCATACCAAGACACAACAGAGTGTAAATTAACAGAAGGATAAAGTAGGCAATAAATATAGCAGGCAATAAATAAATAAAGTAGGCAATACATATAGTAAAGTATGGAACAAAGAAAATTCAGATAAGTGCATCACCTTTACTGTACATGTGACCTCAATCTGTTCTATGAAATGAGCTCTCAGCTGAATAGTTTTAATTATAAACTTGGTAATTCTCGTGACTGGCTATATATTTACAGACACCCTGTTATTGAGATTTTAATAGGTACTTTTTGTCAAGTAAAGATTCTAAATACTGGCCTTTGCTGCTGCATATAATTGGCATTCAAATAAGATGTGTACAATGCCTTTGATATCTGGAGCTAGAGATCAAGTATGGATAATTTATTTGTATTAAAAGTTAGCCGAAATACAAATTGAATTACTTCTGAGCTATACATGCATTGAAAACTGCTGGTTTAAAATCATAAATGGCCAGTTTTACTTTTCAGTTTGTAAAATGCAAATGATTTCTCTCTCTCCATACCAAATTTAAAATTATGCCCCCTTTCATTATTTAGGAAATGAAGCTTCTATTAATTTTAATTCTATCTGTCGGATATATGTAGCTAGAATATGTGATTAATTGTACTTTGTGAACAGTCTCTTTCAATGCAGTGCCAGTAAAATAGAGCTGAGTGCAAAACTCATATTGAATATGCTGCTAGCATAGAAAATATTTTTATGTGACTGGATTTCAGATTTTTTTTTTTTTTTACAGATTTCCCTGCTGTGAACTGGGTCATTCAGTTTGACTGCCCAGAAGATGCAAATACATATATTCACAGAGTTGGGAGAACAGCCAGGTATGTTCTATGAAGTGGCTTTCCCTAACTTGATGTCCTCTGGTTGTGTTTCTCCATCTTCCAGAGATAGCCATCCAAGTTAGCTAATAGTTGTGGACATTGTAGTCCCAATATGTAGAATATATTGAAGGAAGCTTTTCAGTGCTAAGGTAAAACTATACATAGATCTGAAAAAATACTAAGGTTAGACCTGTTATTACATTAGATTGGTATTTTTCAAAATGCTGGCTGGGGAATTCTGGCAGTTGAAGTCCAAACATCTTAAAATTGCCAAGTTTGAAAAACACTGCATTAGATTATGTTATTAGCTTGTGACTGGATTCATGTACTTTGTTTAACAGCAAAGATGACCAATGCTGAAAAAAAAGTAAGGAAAAGTGTGATTGGTACTTTTAAGTTTAAATAAGAGTCATCTGAAAATGGGCAGCAAATAAATTTGATTGATTTAAATAAATAAATAAACAAACAAGATGTAGTTTAAATGTCACATTTCCTCTCCCCTCTCACTGGTATTTGGCCATTATGACAGGTGACTGAATCCTTGTAAATTAGTATTTTTAATATTAGTCTAATGAACACTTTCCTTCAGTATGAAGTTTGGATTCTTTCCCCTCCTTGGTTAAATTTATGAGGGAAACAGCTTATCAGTGAAATATTTACTTATATGAAAACCCAACACAATTCAATTTCCAAGTCTCAGGACTCTCATAGGTTATTGAAGCTTAACTTCAATAAGGTTGGAATAATGTTTGGACACTGAACTGTGCATTTTCTTGGTATCTATTCTGCATATGAATTTTGATTATCATTTAACATTGTTTTTTTTTTTTTTTGCAAATGTTGTGGAAGAAGCATAAGTTAAGCCTTATTTTTGGTTCATGTTGCTGAGATCAGATTGGCTAGAGTGGATTTATAAGTGGCATACATTAGAAATGGAGAACCTTGTATTTTATTTATTAAGCTTTTAGTATTTCTGAGAGGGTAGGGTAACAATATAGATTCTCCAGAGAACTGAAAAACTAGGGTAGATATGTCAAATGTTGTGAATGATTCGACCCATACTCAAATATAGCTTTTACTTATTGTTTTATATTTTTGTAAAAAATAAACCTTCTATAAAAACTGTGATATTTGTGGTGTTTGGGTCTCTGTTCACAGCAATGAAAATTTTATTATTTTGGCTCTGGACAGTGCATGGTACAGATATGCCTTATCATTTTTTTTTTTTTTTTTGTATTTTCCAAGAAGAGCTTATTGAAGTTCACTTGGGAAATCTTGTCTATCTTCTGATGCATTATATCTGTTTTTGTTTTCTCACCTACTCAAAAATTCTGTTTGGGCAGGTTATAGATTTATATCTCTTTCCTTACAATATATTATTTTAAAACTGTTATCTCTCAGGTACCACTGCAGTTCACTATACATATTTATAAGGCGTTATATAATGTGTTATGCACTATAATAAATACAAAAAAATATTAAATCGCCGTGAGGAGAGTTTGGCCAATTTGATAATATAGTGGAGGTTTCTCTCAGGCTTACTAATAAAAACTCAGCAATAGTTCCCAAATTGTCAACTTGGCATGGCTTGATGAGGTGCTTAAGCTTGAATTCAGCTGAAAACTCATGTTCCTGAAGGCAAGATAAATGTTTTTATCTCACACTAGGTTGGAGCCAATAAAACAGTTGATTGCTTTCTATTAACATTAAAACACCCTTTAATTTAATTCCACCACTTCTTTTTCCTCTCCTTCCCACAGTGTAATGTCGTTTTTGCCTTTGGCTTTCTACTCTTGAAGCTTGGTGACTGTTGCTTGTGGACATTACTTGCCACAATGTCCTGGGAAACTTTGGTTCTCAGCTTAATTCCTGTAACATCCTTCTCCTCATTTTTCCCCTAATCATCAGTGGCAAGATGAGTTGCCCTAATGGGGTCAAGGTTAAAATTTGTTTTCTACATACCAGAATTGGAAGAGTGACACTAAAGACTGAGTAGCTTAGCTCCTGATTTAAACATTTGGACATTCCTGGAGGTGTTTTTGTGTGGCACATCTGTATTAAGGCACAGGTGGAGGAGAAATCTCCAGTTGAAGACCCAGAAGGATCAAGGCAGAGATTTGCTGAGTAAAATAGCTGGTGGAAAGGATTGAAGCTTTTAAAGAATGTTAATGAAGATAGCCTGACAAAGATGTCAGAATTCAAGACTCTCAGGAAAGAGTAGTTTTCCCCTCTTTCCAATCTCCCTCCTAGGCTACAAGCAATCCAGGAAGTGGAAATATTGAGAAACATTGCATGAGTCAGGGAGGGAAATAGATACCCTAAAAAGCTCCATTTGAAATTATCAGGGTAGAATTCTGTGAATAATTTTGTTAAACCAAGGCCACACTATCTATTCGAAATGTACAAATTATCTACCTAAAAGCACTACAGAAATAAACACTATAATTTAGAGAAAAACAGTATGTGCATCTGGAAAGTTTATGTCCTTTCTCCTACCCTCTGACAATACCTCATTTGGTCTAATTCAGAGTGAAAGGAAAGGAGGACAGTTCTCCCTGTTACTGGGTTTCAGTGGCAATTAGAGCTTCTTTCTCTGAGAACACAATGACAGGAATGAGGAGCACTTCCGGCCTCCTCCCTTCAGTCCCCATGTCTGAATGTTGTTTATTGGCTAAAGCTAGCCAATTTCAGGATTGTCTTCAACAGCATTTTCCAGTATAGGAGCTGAGAGGCAAGAGAGAAGGCTGTCTTAGTACCTCTTTCTTCAGTCATCAAATCCTCCATCTCTTTACCCTCTGCCAAGTCCCTTTCCTCAGTGTCAGATCTCTGGCAGCTGCAGAAGCTTTATTGGGCAACTAGTCAGATGGAAACAGTGAAGGAGGCAAGAAATGAGTACATCATCTAACACTTTCAGAAATGTTCTAAGTCTGGAGAAATATACACATGCTTCTCCTTCAGTCCTCTCTAAACTCTGGAGCTTAGATATGGTACACATCCAGATCCTGCATTAAACTTGTGCCCTCCCCCTTCCCCCCGGGCGGGTGAATATTTTCCATGATGGCTGCCAGGTTTCTTGTTCTGATTTTTTTAAAATTAATATTCTGAGGGACTAGAGAGGTTGCTGATGGCTACCGATTTATTCTCCAGATACAACTATATCTAATTAAATAAATACTGAGCTAATTAAATAGTTAATAGTAAAAGAACCCACTGGATTTTTTTCACATATTTATATATTATTTATTGTTTTATCATAAAAAATAAAATACAAAACAAAACAAAATGAAACAAAACAAAAGCAAACATTCAACACTAACAATAACAAAAAATTAAAAAATAGTATACAAAAAAAAAAAAAAAGGAAAAAGTGACCAAATCTAACATTTAACATGTAGGATCCACCCTGGCTGGGTGCTGAAAAAAAAGAGAAAGCAATAAATCCTCCTCCCCTTTTGCAAATACATACATACATACATATATAAAAGAAAAAAAAGTCAACAGGTTAAGCCAAACATTACACTAATCTTCAAATCCCTCTGTTAACCATCTGTTGTTGTACTTAGCGCGTAGAAAGTCCACAAATGGTTTCTAGTCTCTTATAAAGCTGCCTAGTCCATTATCTCTAATCAAAGGAGTTAATTTCACCATCTCTACTAATTTACTCAATTTCAAAATCCATTCTTCAACAGTCGGCATCCCTTTTTCTTTTCAGTGTTTGGCAAGTACAATCTTCACAGCCGTCACCATGTGTAGGAATAGCACCCCAAATTGTTTTTCAGTTGGCTTTTTCCATATACCTAAAAGAAAAGTTTCAGGTTTCATTAATATTTTATCTTAAATATTTTTTGCTTTGTCATTGTTAATGTTTATCCAGTATGAATCCACTGGATTTCTAACACCGTTTAGCATGTTTTGGCTCAGGAACAAGGTTTTGTCTCAAAGAAATCCAATTGTCAAGGTTCCGATAGACAAGACCAAATAAATCAGAACTCCAAGGCTTGAGATTTCTTCAAAAACATGTTTATTGGTTACATAGTATCGGCATGGTCAAAAGTGAAACCAAGTCTGAAATTCCCTTCAGAAGTAACAATATTACAAAGTTGAAATTCCCACCCCAGAGCTATGCAATCAGCTACATTTCCCAATAGAAGAGTTTCATGGGCTTTCTAACTAAAAGCTTAAGCTAACTGACAGAAATGACCTTGGTTCCCACGGGACAGTAGAAATCCTCCATCCCTCTCCCAATCCTATGGCAACTTAGAATGAAGGAAATGGCTGCAGACAGGTTTGTTGTAAAGTTGACACCAATATTTTTGGACCAGTGGGCACATTGGGAAATTTGAAAGCATGCCATGGGTCTCTCATAATGAAGGGATCTGTCTGTTTCCAAAATGGCATTTAAAATAGATATTATGGGTACAAAGTGGGTAATGATAGAACCATTTATTCTAAAAGGCAAAGTAGTAAGGGTACTCTGCTCATCCCTTCTATCACTCCAAGAGGTTGATACATTTTCAGCTAAAGCACTGAGGCTCCACCATCTACCACTGCTGTTTTCTAATATGGGCTCTAGAAATATCCCCTATCCTGTCCATTTCTCATACATTATTTTAAGAGAAATCAGAAAAAAAGTTAAAACCAAATAGAGTTTGTAGCCCTGCAGGTACCATGGCAACTTTAATAGGTACATTGGAACCCATGAGTGCCAGTTGGCCTATTTCTGCTTAAGAAGAACTGTACATAAAGTATCAGAAATCCAAACAAAATATAAAATTGATTTCTGACAAGTCTTTGGTTTAGCTTTCACTTGACCTGAACTACACATTGAAATGCGAAAAAGCAATTTCCTAGCTTCAGTTCTTGTGGAATAATTTTGTTTGATCAAATAGGAGTAAAAAGATGAAATTAAATTAGGCAATATCTTATGTTCAGATCCTTTTTAAGAAGGATATAAGAGGATTGGTGTTGCTAGAGAGATCATAAGCTTTATCTTGTGGAAAGCTCATTTGATAACATATATTACGACATCAAAATAGTAGAACTATAAGTGTCTTCATGCAGAAATATTTGCAGCCATCTGGTTCAGAATTTTCTTCCATGAGATTTATTTTAATTGATATAAAACAAAATACAGTGCCACTAGAGGACAGCAGTTAGTTTTCATTTTTGGAAAGTCACATTCATGTTTTGGGGGTTTTTTTGCCAACAAATGACAACATACTTTAAATGCTTTACACATATACCTAAGCCTCAGTGCCCGGTTTATACATTGCACTCAGCTTGACAGCAAACATGCTGGCTTGCAACTGATGCAAGCTTTATTTGCTGGGGTGTAACTAGAAAATTTAGCCTAGCATAGCTAAATCTGATTTTGAACCCACAAGCAATTAGAGAATGAAGTCATGATGTGTTTTAGTTTTAGTGTCTGATTTCTTCCAAGTAGATTAAATTGGAATGCTGCATTCAGCCATTATGCCTAGCTTGGTAAGCATGAAACAGCATTTGTTAACCATTGTTGTGCCTAAATAACAACAACAAAAATATTTGTTGGTATAGAAGTGAGTAGCATGAGAATTTTTTTAAAAATGCTATGTTCTTAATCTCAAAAGAAGCAGAGGGTGATAAAGAGTGTATAAATTATTTCTCACACTGATAAAAAAAGACTAGCGGCTACCAAAACAATGAGTAGATGCAGACTATCCTTTCACTACAAGAAAAAAAAATCTAATTTTGGTAATGAAAATGTGGTAGGTAACCGATGAGCTTTGCAGTAATCAGCTACCTATATAATGGTGTGTCATACTGCCATCTAAAGTAAGATTCTCTTTGGAATTCTCTTATTCTTCCTTTAAATAAGGCTATTAATCAAAGCGTTTAGATTAGACATGATTACAAAGAAGGAAATCTGGCAGTCAGCAAGATTCCATGACCATTGGTTAGATGTATTCAAGGATACCACTCAGTCTGATTAAGTCTTTTAGAACATTAATGGATAAACTGTCTATAATGAATGTAGCTGTGGCCTGAGGGATTAATAAATTTTAAAGCTGTGTGGAGTTCAATTCCCAGAATTCTCTAGCCGGCATGCTGGAAGTTGAGGTTTGCACATCTTAAAGTTATGAAGGTTAAGAAACATTGTTTAGGGCATTAAAATTTCTTTAATTCTTAGGGTGGGATCTCTACAGAATAACCTCTACATTGGGTTATATAGATAAAAACAACCTAGTTTAGATTTTCACGTAATAATATTTGTGAGGTTGTTAGTGGAAGCACACGGTTGCCGTTTATTGGAATGAACAATTATACAATGATATTTATGCATGTTTTACATATTACAAAATAATAAGCACAGCTTTTGAGAGATTTTGAGCATGAAGCAGAGGATCTTCATCCATTCCTTAAATTCCAAATTTACTGTTCTTTGCTTGGAGAATGGAGAATCATACTGTATATGTTCTTCTAAATTTTGTGTGCCACAAAATGCTCCTTGTCTCTTTGGCTTACAGTTTGAGTAGATATGTTTGTGAATATACCACAAATATAGTCATTAAATAGTACATTTTCTAAAGAAAACCTAACAAGCATTTGCTATTCACAAGACTAACAGAACAATTGATGCTGTGGTTGGGTGATAGCAATAGGGTTCATTGATTTCCAAATATCAAATTTCATTGATCAGAGAAAAGAAGAATGTTGTCCTAGCATAGCTGACTCAGGAATTCTGGGAGTGAAGTCCATGAGTCATAAAAGAGCCAAGGTTGCCTACCCATAGCCTAGGCCTTGGTGATGCTCAGGGATAGGAAAAGAATGATTTAGTACCTCGTTCATTTCTTTTTTCTCTGAAAAAACCCACAGATTTAACAAGGCATCTCAACTATGTTCTGTCTGCCTGCAATGATCCAGGATCTTGGTATTATGAATAAGTTGAGTCTTGGTGCACTGCAGTTTATTGCTCTGCTTTGCTTCTGCTAAATAAACCATATAACTTACCATGATTTTTGATTCCAAGGTCTTGAATTGTTGCATCCTTTTAATAGCCAGAATAGGAATCTTCATTCTTGGCTGAAAAGCCTGACTTGTTTGGCAGGAACAATTTTTGTTCTTTTGGTTGGTTTAAATCAAGGATTTTCAACCTTGATTGAAAATGAATTCTGGGAGTTGAAGTCCAAAGTCTTAAAGTTGCCAAGATTGGACACCTTTGTTTACATCAATGTGCAATCTTTTTTCTGTCATGCCCTTTGTTTTCTCAGGGGCTATGAAATGGGAGCTCATAAATGGGATTAAGGAGATTTGAAGGTGGAACTAGAGGTAGAATTGGGCAAGATGGTCTTTTTTTTTTTCCCCTTCAGCAAGGAGGCTGAAGGGGAGAACCAGTTATTCCTGAGATGTAAACTGATTTCTAGTATACATGTTTTAAAATCAGACCAATGGATGGCCTTCAGTAGAGCATATTCTTGGTAATGGCGAATTCAGATGGGAGAAAATGAACAAAATGCACTGACGCTACTCGTTTAACATGTAGAGGAACAGGCAGAATTTTTAAAACAAAACAAACCCAAAATTAAAATGGTGTCAGCTGAGATTGCATCAGGCTTTGTGGTATCCTCCATCCTTCAATTCTTTTTTGCAAGAAGAGCCTGACTGTGAAGCTCCCATTTGCACCTCCCAGAAATGCTGGGAAGAAGGTGGTCCTTGAGTTACAACCATTTGTTAGTGACTGTTTGAAGTTACAACAGCACTGCAAAAAATGACTTATGACCGTTTTTCACATTTATGACCATTGCATCATCCCTATGGTCATGTGATTAAAATTCGGATGCTTGGAAACTGGCATGTATTTATGATGGGTTGCAGTGTCTCAGTCATCTGATCACCTTTTGCGGCCTTATGACAAGCAAAGTCAACCGGGAAGCCAGATTCGCTAACAACCAGGTTACTAACTTAACAACTGCAGTGATTCACTTAACAACTGTGGCAGGAAAGGGCGTAAAATGAGGCAAAACACACCTAATGACTGTGTCAATTTTGGGCTCAGTTATGATCATAAGTTGAAGACTGCTTGTAATTACTTTCTGGAAAGCTCGGATTTGAAGAAAAAAATTGCTCTTCTCCCCCCCCCCCGTTACATAGATACAAAGAAGGTGGTGAAGCTCTCCTCGTTTTGCTTCCTTCAGAGGAAAATGGCATGATTCAGCAGCTGTCACAGAAAAAAGTTCCTGTCAGCAATATCAAGTAAGTTCTTTTCCATTTTATATATAACTTAGTTATGCGTTTGAAACCAAAAGTGATTTCTTTCCTGTGAGACCGGGTTTTTTTCTTCATAAAAAAGATTTTTAAACTTAAAAATGATGCAGAGCACAATGAGAGTATCCATTGGCAACACATTCCATCATTTATTTTTACAAATAATATGAACATTTCAGATCATCTTATTTCCTGGGAAAGCAAATAGAGAAAATGGTCTTCCATTATTTCAAATTTTTGGAGAAATGGAGGTCTGTAAATACAGCCTGACCTTTCTGTGCAATTTTACCTTTTTTCCAAGCAAAATGATGTGATCTGCCAACACTTAATCTGTTTAGCAAAGATAGAGCTGAGACAGTGAACTCTGTCAGTAGCAAAATTACATGAAATGTGAGATGATTTGGACACTGTGTGGAAGGTGTATATGGCGTGTGTAACATTAACATCAGTAATATATTTTTCTTTTTTAAAATTGGTACCATTAGCCAAAGAAATAAAATTGGAGAGAAAAAAATGGCCTCTGCCACTATTAACTCCTGCCAAACACCCACATATGCTTTTAAAATCTATTATTGAAATATAATACTTTTTGAAATAAATATACTCCAATCTTTGAAAAATTGAACATTTGGTAATAGTGGCTGTAGTACACAGTTCCTATACTGCTATATTAAATGCTCTCCTGAAATAGGGCTGTGTTAAATTTATAGCCTTTTTCCTCCAAGCAAAGCTCAGTTGATAGCACCAGTAGTCTCCTGCTTTACTTCTAATGACATCAGTTTTATACCTTCATGCATACAAAACTAATTGCCATTTGCTACCTAATATCCAGTAGCTCAATATGCATAAAAATTAGTTCATATGCTGCACTGACTTAGCTGTTCACTTCTGATAATGCTGTTTACAGTGCTTTAAATCATGGATGATAAAGTGGGAGTGCAGTGAAGCTTGCAGATTCTTGTAAATGGCTCCTTTTTGTCTTCTTAAAGGAATTTAATTATTTTCAAAAGCCATTTAAATAACAGAGCTGTGGCTTGTTATGCTTATTTTTGCCGCGGAACTAATCCAGGATTGTTTGAATACATAAGAATATTCTTTCCTAAGTCTGGCTAAAGCCATCTTCTCTTCAAAGGTTGTAAATGATAAAAAAGAGCTAGTGGGGTAAATATATAATATTCACATTCTAAAAGTGAGAGAAGAGAAAGATAAGGGAATTGTATGGCATCTTTTTGAGATGAATTGTTAAGGTTGGGGAGTTGGCTTGGATGCAAGGCTTTTATAAAACTTGATGTGTCCATCTTGGTCTTGCTGATCAGTTGCTGGTTGCACTGGATTTTGGTTTTAGACTTTGAATATGGATGTGAGATAGAACATGTTTAGGAAATTACATAGTGGAGTATAAGGAGAGACTATTTACAATGCAAGAAAGTGAGGACCGAGGGAGGAATTGGGGGTAAGACAAGAGGCTTAAATTCTCCAGCTGCTTAAGTAAATACATTTCTGAGGTTAAAAAGTAAAGAATCAGGCACTTCTTCTCTTTGTAGTCTAAGTCAGAGGTTCCCAACCTTTTGGGCACCAGGGACCGGTTCCGTGGAGAAAGGTTTTCCTATGGACCGGCAGGTGCGTGGTTTTGTGTGCTGCCTGCATCCCGTGGATGGGGCTTTGCTTGTTTGTGTGGATCAGTTGCTGGCTGATCCGTGGCCTGGTACCGGTCCACAGACCGGAGGTTGGGGACCCCTGGTCTAAGTTGCTTGTGTGTCTTGGATTTTTAAAATATAATAATCCAAACAAATCAAACCTTTTGGTATATCTGCTTGAAACTTTACTTTTTAAAAGGTGGATAATCTCAAAATGCTGATGCTGGATGAATGGATCCTTATGTTAAGATTTTTTACATAGTTCCTGAAGGATTTTTGTCCAAGGAATGTCAGACCTCCTAGAAACTAGAGAGAAGCTGCAGTTGCTCAAAATAATTACATGTAGTCCTCAACCTACAACAGTTCATTTGATGACCATTCAAAATTACAGTGGCACTGAAAAAAGTGACTTGTGACCATTTTTCATACTTATGACCATTGTAGCAGCCTTATGGTCGTGTGATTTACATTCAGATGCTTGACAACTAGTTCATATTTATGACGGTTGCAGTGTTCCGGGATCACGTGATCACTACCTTCTGGAAAACAGTGGGAAAGCCAAATTCACTTAACGGTGTTACTAGTTTGCAGTGATTCATTTAACAAATGTGGCAAAGAAAAGATGTAAAATGGGGCAAAACTAACTTAATACATTTCTCACTTAGCAGCATAAATTTTGGGCTCAATTGTGGTCCTAAGTCGAGAACTCCCTGTACTATTAAAAAATAAGGTGGCTGCTTCCCTATCTTAGAAATCTTCATTCCATATTCTTTAGTGCTCTATACACACATAAAGAATTGTCATTTGAATGATTTAGTATGTTTGTTTTTGGCACAGATTCTATAAAGTCATCTAGAACCAGTTTTTTGTTTGCAAGTGAACGCTTGCTTTGGGTCACTGAAATGGCAAAAAGCAAGTTTAACTTGGAATAGGCTGCCAGCTAGAAATTCTGTTGAAGCAAATATTATTTATAAGGCTATAGTGCGGCATTGTGTTGTTGAACTGACTTATCCCCTGATTCTTTGATGGAGAACCACTTTCCATTTGTGTGTGCATAGTTATGTTTGTGAATTTGGAGTTCTGTTGAGATTTTTCAGGTTTAGAAACATTCTAGTGAAACTATTTTTAACCGCTTAAAAGAAAAATTCTCTTATGAGAAACCTCAGTATGAAAAATTGCTGTTAAATATTCAGCTCTTTCCTTCATAGGAGCTTAGTCTTTTATCTTTTTATAAGTAGAAGAAGATATATAATGTTAATTCTGTGGTTTGATCTTGGAAGAATGATTTTCTCTTCCAGTTCAAATTGTTTTCTGGGTAAAAAGACGGAGTTGCAGCTTTTGTTGTTTCCATTTATTAATTTTAAGAGAACAGTCTGCATGGCTGATATGATTTCAACTGTATATTGTTCACAGTAGTTTTTATTCCTCAGATGAAGAAGTATTTCTTCTATGAACAGGAGATAAGTCTTTGTAGGCCTTTTGGAGAAGATAGGAGAACATTTCTGTGGTTTACCTGTTTTCTCTATGATTCTCCACTCTTCCAGAATCAATCCTGAGAAACTTTTAGATGTCCAGAAGAAACTGCAGTCCTTACTGGCTCAGGATCAAGATTTGAAAGAACGTGCACAACGGGTAAGGGCACAATGGCTAGTCCACTGATACGTAATTGGCATGATCGTAGAATCTCTTTTTTTAGGTATATAAGAAATATTAATCTTGAATAAGATTTTTTGGTTTTATGGGTTATAGGAGATCTGAAAGGACATACAGTATTTATTTTTCAGCTGCCTGTTCTTTGACTAAAGTAAAAAGGTATCAGAAATTAATTGAAATTAATCAGCAGTTCATTTATTAAATTTATTTATTAAGGAAATTTATATTGTTGCCCAGCTCACACATAGGGGACTCCAGGGAGCTCCCAACATTAAAAAAATCACAACATAAACATAAACCCATTAAAAAAAAAAAAAAAAAAAAAAAAAAAAAAAAAAAAAAAAAAAAAAAAAAAACAAAAAAAAAAAAAAAAAAAAAAAAAAAAAAAAAAAAAAAAAAAAAAAAAAAAAAAAAAAAAAAAAAAAAAAAAAAAAAAAAAAAAAAAAAAAAAAAAAAAAAAAAAAAAAAACAAAAAAAAAAAAAAAAAAAAAAAAAAAAAAAAAAAAAAAAAAAAAAAAAAAAAAAAAAAAAAAAAAAAAAAACAAAAAAAAAAAAAAAAAAAAAAAAAAAAAAAAAAAAAAAAAAAAAAAAAAAAAAAAAAAAAAAAAAAAAAAAAAAAAAAAAAAAAAAAAAAAAAAAAAAAAAAACAAAAAAAAAAAACAAAAAAAAAAAAAAAAAAAAAAAAAAAAAAAAAAAAAAAAAAAAAAAAAAAAAAAAAAAAAAAAAAAAAAAAAAAACAAAAAAACAAAAAAAAAAAAAAAAAAAAAAAAAAAAAAAAAAAAAAAAAAAAAAAAAAAACAAAAAAAAAAAAAAAAAAAAAAAAAAAAAAAAAAAAAAAAAAGAAAAAATATAAAAAAAAAACAAAAAAAAAAAAAAAAAAAAGAAAAAAAGAAAAAAAAAAAAAAAAACAAAAAAAAAAAAAAAAAAAAAAAAAAAAAAAAAAAAAAAAAAAAATAAAAAAAAAAAAAAAAAAAAAAAAAAAAAAAAACCCAACCCCCAGTATAATTCTTAGACAATTGCTGTCCTCAGACTTAATACTCTAAAAGGCACTACATACAAGGAAAGGATCTGGACAGGGAAGATAGTAGGCAAATGAGATGATGGTAGTTGGTTCAAATGGATGAAAACATACATACCTTTCAGCAGTGGTGGGATTCATTGCAATTCAAGGTGTTGGTTATCACCTTTAAAGCCCTTCATGGCATAGGACCAGGTTACTTACAGGACCGCATACTGCCGCACAGTTCCCAGAGACCGGTGAGGTCCCACAGATTGGGCCTCCTTCAGGTCCCGTCGGCCAGACAATGTCGGCTGGTGGGCCCTCGGGGAAGGGCCTTTTCTGTGGTGACTCCGACCTGGTGGAATCAACTTCCCCCCGAGATTCGAACTACTGCCACCCTGCCGGCCTTTAAGAAAGCCATTAAAACTCTCCTGTTCCGGCAGGCCTGGGGCTGATGTCCCCGGGGTGGGTGGGGGTGGGATATGATCGGACACGCTGTATGAATGTATTTATTTTATTGTTTTTTTGTCATATTATTGTTTTAAATTTTGTACGCCGCCCTGAGTCCCTTGGGATTGGGCGGCATATAAATTTTAGAAATAAATAAAATAAAATAAACAGGAAAGGTATGCTCTGGGTCCCTTCTGCTAGAGAATGTCACCTGGCAGGTACCCAGAGGAGAGCCTTTTCTTGCAGCACTCATCATCTGGGACATCACTTCCCTGAATAATAGACTCTACTAGCTTTAAAAACCTGGCTTGTTGCTGTGCTTGGGTTCACATTAAATTAAAAGAAAAAATATTTTTGTTCCCTGAAAAGAATGTATGAACTGATTGAAAAGAAAGAGTAGTAGATTATATAAAGGGAAAATTGGTCTTCTTGAGCTCTGAAGCTTAGAAAAAATGGCTAAGATTTGGAGAATGTATGTTATGATTAAAAAAAACCTCTTCCTGAGACATATGAAAGTATTTAATAATAATAATAGTAGTAAAGTTGGAAGGGACCTTGGAGGTCATCTAGTCCAACCTCCTGCTCAGGCAGGAACCCTACACCATTTCGGACAAATGGCTGTCCAGTCTCTTCTTAAAAACTTCCAGTGTTGGAGCATTTACTGCTTCTGGAGGCAGGCTGTTCCACTGATTAATTGTTCTCACTGTCAGGAAGTTTCTCCTTAGTTCTAGGTTGCTTCTCTCCTTGATTAGTTTCCACCCGTTGCTTCTTGTCCTGCCTTCAGGTGCTTTTGAAAATAGCTTGATTCCCTCTTCTTTATGGCAGCCCCTGAGATATTGGAATATTGCTATCATGTCCCCCCTTGTCCTTCTCTTCGTTAAACTAGACATACCCAATTCTCGCAACCGTTCCTTATATGTTTTAGCATCCAGTCCCCTAATCATCTTTGTTGCTCTTCTCTGTACTCTTTCTAGAGTCTCAACATCTTTTTTACATCGTGGTGACCAAAACTGGATGCAGTATTCCAAGTGTGGCCTTACCAAGGCATTGTAGAGTGGTATTAATACTTCACGTGATTTTGATTCTGTCCCTCTGTTAATGCAGCCTAGCACTGTGTTGGCCTTTTTGGCAGCTGCAACACACTGCTGGCTCATAATTTAAGAATTAAAAGGACAGGATTTGTTTCTTTTTTCCCCACTCACTCTACCTTTTACCAATAAATGTTCACATCTTTGCATAGCATGTCAAAACTTGAGGCTTCTACGCATACAGAGATATAGGGAGCTACTTTATTTGATGGCATCTGTTGCTCCATTGTAGCTTGGTACTGTTAATTGTGATTGGCAATGAATCGTAACCTCCAGAAGTGAAGCACATTTCATATCATCTTCTATCTTATTCTTTTAGCCTAGTAAAAGTTGGTCTTGGGGAAAGAGTAGAAGACCTTTCCTTTCTTTCTCCTGAAACTCATGCTGTGATATAAGCAGGTTTTCCTTGAGTCAGACTAGGCTCCTCATGATTTGCATGAACAAATTCATGTTGTTTTCTTGGAAGAGGTTTTCCACTGTCTTTTTCCTTGTTGTTTGTTTGTTTGTTTTGACTTTCTGGTTGACTTTATCATCCTGGAATTTCCTGCTGATCTCCATCTAACCTGGACAAATTCCATTTAACTTTTTCAGGCTAAATAAAACTAGCCTAGGACAGCCACCTGCTGTGACTTTTATGTGGTTCACCTTTGAGCTGCAAGTGAGGATCATACAGCAAATTGATTACCTCCTATGTTATTATTAGTTCAGAAAAGATCCACATTAAAATGGTACAGTTCACTTTGCATTTGTTTTTGGTGTAGCAAAAACATGCATTTGGCATCATATACCCATATATACTGCATATCCATAGATATTGAGAATCATTACTTTCCAATTCATGAATAATTCTGATGTAGAATGTCACAAAGTTCAAATCTTTCTTTAAATTAATACATTTGAGTAAAAATGAAAATTATTGAGATATAGAAGATAGAATATTGAATATCCCTGAAAAAAGTGTGAAATTATACCATGTTTTGGTCATCATGTGTGTAATTACTTTTTTCAACTAAGCTTACTTTACTAAATAAAATGAAGTAGAATCATGTAGAAAATTTAGTCACAGAATCCCTTACTTAGTTCAGGAATCCAAATTAATGCATTCCAAACAAATGGCTGTGTAGTCCGTACTTGAACATATTCAATGACTTGTATTAATACGGAAACAGCTACTGTTCCAAGATCTCTTTTGCAAGTGCTATTAACAAGCCAGATTCTTCCCACTCTACACCTGTGTTTTTGATTTTCATAACTAAAGCTGGCAAACATATCCAACAGGAAAACTCCTGTTTTCCTCACAACAATCCTGTGAAGTGTGTTGGGCTGAGGGAGAGTGACTGGTCCAAGGCCACTCAGCTGGCTTTCGTGGCTAAGGCAGAACTAGAACTCATAAGCTCCAGGTTTCTAGCCTGGTGCCTTAACCACTAGTCTGAAGTGGTCTTCATGATATTTATTTCATCTCTCATTCCGCTTCTGTGAAGAGTCTTGGATACATAGTCTTTGAGCTTGCTATATGCACATTTAATTATTATTCAATCCAAATCACTTTTAAGTGGCTTGCTGATCAGTATGGAATGGGTAGCCTGTAAAATGCATTGCAGGAATTAGAATTTGATTTATTCCCACAATCCATTTGGAAAGCTGATTTAAAAAAAGGACAAGATTCATCTGACAAGACTTATTCTTCAAAAATGTATGCTGATATTTAGTAATAATCATTACTTTTAACACATTTAAAATTAAGTTTTAAGATTCACTCCAGAATATTTCCAGGTATTAATGACAGATTGGTCTATAGCAGCGGTCCCCAACCTTTCTGGTATCAGGGTTCAGTTTCAGAACAAAATTGTATTTCACGGACTGGGAGCGGGAGGGGGGGATGGTTTGTGTGCAACCTAGATCCTGCTCATGGGCACATGAAGCTTCACTTTCTCACCTGCTGCTTGCCCAGCCCAGTTCCTAACAAACCATGGACTGATACCAGTCCGTGGCCCTGGAATTGGGAACCATGATCTATAGTTTCTGAAAACCTTGTTTTTTCTCTTTTTTAAGATAGAAACAAAATTTCCTCTCCTTCAGTAACCTGGCACTTCATATCTCGAAGATTTTTCACAGATAATATATAAATCTTTGGTCAATCTATCTGCTTAGTTTCTGCAACATCCTAGGCTGCAATTTATCTTGTCTGAAGATTTAAATTCACTCAGACTAAGCAGATATTCCTGTGTCATATTTCCATCAGTCTCAAGCTTCAAGATCTTCATTCTGCCCTTCACACTTTATTTTTTTTTTGTTGGAAGAGACTGAATCAAAATAGGTGAATAGCTTTGCCTCAATAGTAGCAAACAACGCTAGTTGAATTCATCTCAACCTGGACACCAACATTGGGACAGTCAAAAGGGAAGTATATTTATATAGATTCTTTTTAATTTGTAGAATCTTCATGATAGAAACAGACATGTGCAGAAATGAGGGCCACAGTC